CACACAGCCTTTTACTCTACTGGGGATTAATCTGCATACAGCCCGTGTCACAGCATTCGGTTCATTCTGCACACAGCAAATCCTGAGCTAACGGCCCAATCTGACAAGACCGAGCTCAAAGATGGAACCGGTTGGAGTTGAAGCACGCTCAAATATGGAGAATGGCACAGCATTCTGAGTATAAACGATTTTTGAAATTAAATAAAGGTTTTTCAAACCAGGGTATCGAGCCTACAACTGAACGCAGCGGGGAGGACTCAAACAAAAGGGTACACGACCTAAACGTAACGAGACACGCTCGGAAAAGACCTAAAACAAAGGTTGGGGTAAACAAAACAAAAGACACGACATACAAACGCGTTAACGAAGACAGGGGACCTCTGATCACGAAGAGCCAGTTTCTCTGGGTATCGTTTCCCACCCTTTTCTCATTTGTGATTCTCACATCACTCTGGCACTCAAGCTCGGTTTTTCTCTCAAAACCCTTTTTCCTTACTTTTCTCTCAACTCACACCTCTCTATTCTTTATTCTCTCATTTTTCGTCCCTCCCCAGGGTGATTGATGGATAAATAGAAAGGTGTGGGTTCATGCCCAATGCCGTTAGCTCACAGCTATTTCTTCTGGTGGGTAGAGTGCCCTTCTGGCAAGTACGTTGACGACGCACTACAACAAGTTGGGTCTTGAATGATGAAATTTTTTTGTCTCCAAAGAGCTAATTTCGTCACTATAGATATTTGTGAGGAAATATTTTCGTCACCGTCATTGAATGTTTGTCACTAAAAACCAACGTGACGAAAAATAATTTCGTTACCAATGAAATTACTTCAGTGACGAAATTTTTTGTCACCAATAAAACAACATTTTGTCACCAAAAATTCTCATTTTCGTCACGAAATAGTTATTCAGTTCCATATTTATGACTTTAGTTGACGAATAAATTTGTCACACATGTTGATCATTGATGAGGAAATAATTTCGTCACAATAAGATGTAAAGATGACGAAATTTTTCGTCTTCAAAAGTCATAATTTTTTGTCACCAATAAAACAAAATTTTGTCGCAAAAAATTCTCATTTTCGTCACCAAATAGTTATTCAGTACCATATTTATAACTTTAGTTGACGAATAAATTTGTCACATATGTTGATCATTGATGAGGAAATAATTTCGTCACAATAAGATGTAAAGATGACGAAATTTTTCGTCTTCAAAAGTCATAATTTTTTGTCACCAATAAAACAAAATTTTGTCGCAAAAAATTCTCATTTTCGTCACCAAATAATTATTCAGTACCATATTTATAACTTTAGTTGACGAATAATCACTTTGTCATAATAAGAAGTACAAATGACGAAAAAATTCGTCACTAAAGTTGTTCCATATTTTATATTCAATTTAAGTTATTATTTCACAAATATCCCTTCTCAGATCCCAATAGCCTTTTAATTGTACTAAGAAATCCACTAGCTATTATACACCACTCCACACAAAAATTCACTAAACCATTATATTATAAATCAAAATGTATCCATCAAACAACTTTAATAATAATCCATTATGTAAAACAAAAAAATCATCAAAGCAATTCCCAAAATGAACTAATGTGGAGTCCACAAAAAAAATCAACACTCAATCTTGATTTGCAATTACAACTAAGTATCAGTTCAGGAAATAAATAAATAATTCAACACTTGATCTTGATTTGCAAATATGCTTCCAAACGTTATCAAAAACCAATCTGCAAAGAAAATAAATAAGGAAGACATTAATGTATTATTAATTACATCTAAAATCATATTTAAATAATTTTATTTTATAAACCAATTTAATAGAAATGCATATAACAATCCAAAACTTCAAAGAGTTGAAGTAATCCTTAATGATAAGCAACACAGATAACAGAAGATGACAAAAGATTGCAAGAATACCATGTATCACTAGCACTAATGCCAACAAGAACCAAAGAGAATCACATGACGTGTTCACAACCTAATCAATCAATAGTTTTTATAGGAGTTACCATTTTCATTTAAATCTAAATATGTTCCTATTTTATTTTTAACTTCAACGAGGTAAAAGGTCAAAACACACATGCAAGCAAACATAAAAACAAAAACAAATGCACACGAATAGATATTGAAATAAAAACACAATTAGATCTCCAAACGTTTTGGGTTAATTATATTTTATATGGTTTTGTCCAAAAACACTTTACCTTCTTCATGTTTAAAAATATACACATAACCCTCTTGAAATTTGGAGTAAAGTGCAAACGTTGCAAATTCTGGTTAAGTTAACCATGCGTTAACACACAAAATTGAGCGTGTGTTAAGAAATATATATAATGATACTTTTGCCCCTTTTTCAATTTGCCTTTTTCTATTATTTTCTTCTTCATTCCCTCTCCCTCCTCCTCTTTTCTACAGCAGCAGACCCACTCGCCATTCCCCTTCTCATTTCCTCCTATATTTCACATGCCACCACCAACCAATAGCCTCATGGACCACCATGGCTATCAACCACCTCTAAAACAAAACCCAGTATCCACTTCCCCAAACACCTAGGTTGGGTGACTTTGCAAGACACAGTCCACCAGGACACCACCATGCATGGCCAAACCCAACCCTAACACCTAGTGGACAAGCACATTTCATCCCTCTCATCTTTCTCTCCCTCGTAGGGAAGTAAAATTTAAAACTCATCTCCCTCTAACAACCTAAAAACAGAAAGTTCTAAACACAAGTTCTAAAGGCAACGAATCACCTTTTAAGTTCTGAATTGTGAAAACTCCAAGAAAAGAAAAACAATGAAAATGAAAATGGGGTAGAAATTTTAGGGGAAAATGCTATATAGTTGAGTACGAGACTGAGGAGAGACATTGCCATTTTTTAAGGCAGCTAAGCTGAGAACTATTAAGATGTTATTAATGAAATCATTAAACCAATGATGTGTATTGATCAATCACTATAGTCAAACTTTATGTTAGGAACAAAAGCAATTACTAACAATTAACAATAGACTACTTAAATTAGTACTGAGAAAAAAAATCGCTGTAAACAAATTAATCCCTCACGGCAAGAGGAGTTGTGTAGGTGTCATATGAGAGGAGGGAGAGGAATGATATGAGACAGACCATGGGACAAGAAAGGGAATAATGGGAAGAAAAACAAAAGAAAAGAGTCACATCTAACACTTTATTGTTGACCTTGAACTATGTTTTCTGAAGAATTAAACAAAAATCAAGTTAGGTTTTCTTCAGTCAGAGTCTACAAGTCAACAGTTAACATTTAACATATGTTGTGATCTAATGTTCCCCATGACAACAAAACAATGTACAATAAGTACATGCATTTAATAATCCAACACTATTGTCCATTTGGAGGTATTGACATCAACTTAAATAACCAAAATGTCCAGAAGGACCCAATTGACATCAACTTAAATAACTACAATGTCCAGAAGGACATCAACAGACCAAGGTGCAATAAGTATATGCTAAGTGATTTCTATTAATATGAAATAGGACTAGACCATAGTAGGTATAGTAAGTGATTTCTATTAATATGATCTATCTTCCACATACACAAAAAAACAATGTCCAATGCTCAGATGCCAATGGGAAGATAAGATCCATGACAATCTAGTTTCTTGTATTTTGCATCCTATAATTTTGGTTTTTTATGTTTTTTAAAAGAAAAAGACTAACTAGATTCTTGTGCTTGCTTACTTGCTTTGTTTACCTTGTGATTCGCATGATATCTCTAATTTGCATGGGTTGTATAAAGTCTAATAACCACCCAACATTATAGTAAAGCAGTACTAAAAAAATAAGTTTAAATCAAAAAGTAAAACCTGAAGCACTTGAGCAGCATATCTCTGAGCTGCTGCATCTTGCTCAACAAATTTGTGAGCATCTTCTGTTACCCTTTGTTCTTGCTCTACCCTCATCAAAACCTATCAGATAAGTCATAATCAATATATTGTTAGAAATCTTTATCACATAAGAGAAAACAATAACCAATTTTTTACATATTTAATTGTCAAACATAAAGCAATGCAAAACCTGAAGCATGACATTTTGTTGTTCTTGCTTATCAACAAGGGCATGTCGAAGCTCAGCAACCTCTCACTCCAATTGTTCAACCTGAAACTCATAAGCAAATAGTTAATATGAAAAATATTTTATTTAACATTTTAAACTAGGTAGAAGAATAAATAAGAACTCAACCACTAAACAAGCATCTTGCTTACAAAAATTTTAATAACTACATCAAACAATTTCAGTAGATTTCGAGTAGAAAAAGGTGAAAAACTTAGTAGGAATTCCCCACCTCTCTCTCTTTCCTCTTCGATTCAAAAACCACAAAATATGATCAGGAAAAAGAAATCAAAATACACCACAAAGAATGTGAGGAATTTTGGCTGAATTCAATGAGTTATGGGAAAATAATTAAACAAATTAAGAAAACTCACAATGGAATGGAAATGCAGGGCCAGGCACAAGCTTATAGAGGAGTCGTGATCAACATGGAATCATTCAGTGGAATGGAAATGCAGGTTTACATTGGAAAACATCCTTATGTAGATGTCTATGGTGGCAAATTGTGGATTAATATCCTACATGAAATTGACACACACAATTCATCAGCTGTTGATCTAGTTCTCAAATTGCGTAATGAGCCTGTTTGGTGCAGTATTTTTTATGTTTAATTATTCTAAGATCCCCTAAACTATTAGTGAGAACTAGATCAACAGATGATGAGGATTAAGATGGTACAATGTCGTCAAAGCCTCTAGGCTTGTATGCCATAGAGGAACAGCTGATGAATTGAAACTATTATTGCTCATGTCCCTGCATACCATCATCTTATGGTCAGAAAATGCAAATAGATTTCACATGCATTGCTAACAAAATTGAATATCGAAGGAAATTGCAACAACTTACAGAGAGTTGAGAAAGTTCATCCCTGTGAGATTGGGCGAAGGTCCATTCAAATTATTGTTCGACAAGGTCCTGAAAAGGCATAACCAAAACACTTTCTTAATGACACAACTTGAATTCTACATGAAGTTGGAAAATTTTCTGTGTGTGTACTTACAGCTCCCTGACACTTGTAAGGTTGTTGAGGTTTGAAGGAACAGGCCCATTTAATGAATTCCAATTGAAGCATCTGTTTGTAAGGCAAAAGTTTCAATCCAAAACAAGAAACTAAATTTGTTACTATAGGAACATGAAAGCCAATCACAGAATGGTTTCTGTAAGAAGCTTAGTAAGAAGTTTCTAGAGTACATGACATAGATACTCACATGGCCTCCAAAGTCTGCACATATCCTAGTGTGTCAGGGATGCTTCCAGTGAGTTTGTTGATATAAAAAATCTTGCTCAATATAAAAGTATAATTATTTATTAGAGACTATAACAAGATAATGTCCAAATTGGCATTAGTTGGAAGATAGGATCGCCTAGTGTCACAACAACTGAATCAAATGCTCCACATGAAGTCAAAATATGCTAATTAATGACTAAGTTTTGTCATTCATAACATCAAAGATTACAATTTGGAAACTTATGCATGTATCAGATTCATGTTTAAGTGGAAAAGTTTAGATGGAATGCTGCCGAATAGCTGATTCATTAACCCGGGCTTGGGACCGGCGGAGTTGTTAACAAAAATATTAAGTGAAATTATCTATAAGCTAAGAAGCATGGCACTTCTAAGAAAGTAACATGTCATGGCCATGTATATCCAATTACATATTAACGACAATAGGTTACAGTCACAGTTGATTTTTAATAGTACGATGGTACGCAGTGCCAAGTCAAATGAGCACATTCTAAGAAGGATGTCATGACGTAAAATGAACAATATAACTTAAAAACCATTGCGTTGACATCCATCACTGCAATCCTGAAGTGACATTCTTTCCACCAATAGTTAAAAAACACAGAGAGAGAGAACAGTGTAAAATCAAATAGACATCTTTCGGTTTCAGTATATTGATGCAAATATATAAGATGGTAATCTCTTTTTAACCTCCTTCATTATAAGAAAGCAGAAAATCATATAAATGAAAAATGATACACAAGAAGGATGACAACCCTCTAAATTATGGGCATCATATTGCAGTCTAATCCTCTCAGCAGAAATTTCTGGCTAATTCTCTGAACTAACAATGACGTCCCCAGAGAAAGTCTACACTTTAGTCTGGATTTACCACTGAATCCCTCCAAACTCAAAGCGAGAATTCTGTTTAGTTCCATAGTAATTATACACAATTACAGTTCAGTTCTGCGCAATCAGATACTCAACTCTCTTACACCACTCCTTATAAATTTTAAGGAACAGGTTCTAGATACATTTATATCATTCCTCGCATTCTAGAACATAGTGAAGTGAGCATTTTGCATAATATTTCGTTTCTTATTAAATTAAGATAAGAAAATCATGACAAAAAGCTCAAAAAGAAGAGTAGATTAAAGATCAGACACCGACACCAACAGGCTACTAGGTGAAGAAAATGTTGAATTTCCCAAGTTATTAAGAGGACTAACTAAAACATTGTAGAAAGAAGTATCATGTAAAGTGAAGAGACGTAAATGTATAGAAGATGACATGGTAAAAATGTTCCCAGTACCTTCAAAGAATGACTAGTGCTGTTTACTCCATCTAATAGAATTATAATTTCGCCTATGTACTAATTAAAAGTAAAAACTAATTAATGCCTAAGATAAAAACTTGCTTATAGATGACATTTTATCTTTAAAAATCTTTATTGATGAGCATTTCATCTTTAAAAACAAATAAAGATTAGCATTTCATGCAAAGGTTTTGAAGGGTTGGGTTTTTTTTGGAGGAAGTTTGTTTCTGCCTAGAAAAATTATTTATAAAAAGAAAATTTGATAGCTCTGTCAGCAAAATTGGTGAATATGGATGTTTTTTATGTTGAAATAATTTCCAGTGAAACCATCAAACCATCTTCACCAACACCTTCCCACCTAAAAACATTGGTTCTCCTATAGCTTCATCCGACTCCCGAAATAACTTTTTTTTAAATGTCAATTTGCAGTGCAAGATTTCTCCTTTACTTCGGTCCTTTGCTGCCTTAAATTCAGCTAGCAGATCCCCAATGTATTTGTTATCATCCAACCCAATATACTCCTCTATATGACATCAAAATGCATATTGTTATGAAAACAAAAGCAAATATATATATATATATATATATATTTTAGGCACTCAGGTAAAACAAATACCATTTCCAATTTCAGGTGATTTAGAACCAGCAACAACCTTCCGACACTCAAACAGACTGAAGCTAGAATATGCCGACAATTTAATAATCCCTGCAAGCTCCTGAAGTAGTAATGCTGTTAAACAATACTCATAAACCACAAGAAAAAATCAATAAAGAACAAAAAGAAGATGCATACTGAAATGTTATAGAAGAGAACAAGAACACAGTAACTATCTACCATTTGAACCCAAAAAGTGTCAATTTTTATAAGTAAATCCATAACTGTTCAAAGCCAAGCACATATGGTTCAAATATCTCAAATGTCAAATCAAAATTTTAGAACACAGGGGGACCAATAACGACATGTATACAGTCAGTGGACTACCACATAACAAATATAGCAACCAAGGAGGCCATTAAAATTACAAAAGCATGTAATACAAACAATATGTATTTTAACAAGCCAAACTTATACAAAATAATCTAAAACTAACACTGTAAAAGGAAATAACTAATCAGGCATAATAAACTCAAATTATGTATGGCTAGAGGGAATATCTGAAATAACTTACTTCCTAGCACTGATAAACTGCTCACAGCGTCCACATACTGTACTCATACACTGCATTCTGCACTGATAAACTGCTTACGGCATTCACACTGTACTCGTACACTGCATCCTGCACTGATAAACTGCTTACGGCATTCTGATGTGTTTACCCTTTTATGCTTTTCAGCCTCCCTTCCAGATTCCTCCGGTGGGCAGCGCTCCAGCTGGGCCTTCTATTCCTGCTCGAGGAGGGCATGGAGACACTGCACGTCCCCATACCAGGGGAGGGCATACTCATGTCGGGAGTAGTTCTCAGGCGCCGACCCCTGATGATGATGATGATGACGATGATGAGTCCGAGGCGGAGGCAGAGGCCGGGTCATCTGAGGAGGCTGGAGATGACTCAGACTCAGGCTCAGATGGCGATGCTGATGACGATGCCCCTGGACCTTTGTCCAGGAAGAGGGTGAGGACAGATCCCCGGGCCCGAGACTACTGATGATGATCCAGATTGCTGCTTTTCTTCCTTTTGTACTTTTTTCTTTCTTTTTCTTTTCTTTTCTTTCTCTTTGTTGGTAGTCAGATTACCTTGTACTGCCGCAGGCAGATTTTTATTTTCAAAGCTATGTACTTGAAAAAGATAATGAAATGAACAAACGTTTCGCTTAAAAGGTGTTACATTTACATATCTCATGTATTGCATCGCATCACATCATGTTACACCTCAATGTGAACGGAATTGACCTGTTGTCTGAAAAATTGAGCACTTGCATTGTAATAACAAGGTAACCAAACAGCCAACAGCAAAAAAATAACCCAAGCAACCACTTGCCTGATTCTGGACACACAGCTCTTACTCTACTGGGGATTAATCTGTATACAGCCCATAATCCAACACTTGGTTTATTCTGCACACGGCAAACTTTAAACAAAACAGCCCAATCTGACAAGACGACCTTCAAAGGTGAAACCAGCTAGCGTTGAAACATGCTCGGATGCTCCAAATTCTCCCTTCCTTCTCTTGGTTCACCCAAATGTAGAGAATGGCACAGCACTCCGAGCATAAACGATTAACTTTCGGAAAAGGGGTTTTCTTAACCAGGGTATCGAGCCTACAACTAGATACAGCGGAAAAGGACTCGACAAAGGTACACAACCTAAACACAACGAGACAGGCTTGGGAAAGACTGAAAACAAAAGGCAAGACCGACAAGTCAAAAGGACACGACACATGGACGTGCTTATAAACTAAGAGACCTTAAACCTCGAGGAGCCGGCTCCTTCGGGTATACTTCCCGCCCTTTCTGATTTGTGATTCTCACATCACTCGACCCTCAGACTCGGTTTTTCTTTCAAAACCCTTTGCCTCACTTTTCTCTCAACTTACACCTCTCTATTCTTTACTCTCTCATTTTTCATCCCTCTCCAAGGTGATTAATGAATGAATAGGAAGTTGCGAGTTCATGCCCGATGCCGTTAGCTCACAGCTATTTCTTCTGGTAGGTAGAGTGCCCTCCTGGCAAGTATGTTGACGACGGGGGGGAGACAGAACGCCTGGCTCAACTGTGCCCCTAGTTCATCATTTTGACCATTTTTTTGTTTTGGTTTTCTACTAAAACAGTTTTGGTCAAGATGAGAGTCGGATTAATGTACTTGTTCGCTTTTTGATTTGAAAACCATGCAAGTCAGTCTGTAAGCACTGAAAATTTTCCTTTTTGGGTCCAAGAAAGTGGTCCAATTTTGGAAAATGGAACAGTTTTCGAGAAAATAGTCAACCTTAGTAAAAATTTTCAAAAACTATTTTACAAACAGTCAATGCTCAACGAGCATGGAACTTACTCTTTGAGATGCGCAACTTCGGACCAGAGGCAATGGAAAATTGCCCCTGGCTTAAAAGGGGGGGTGGCAACGGAAAGTTGCCCCTGGTTTGAATGGCGGCTCACGACGACTCGTGGCAACGGAAAGTTGCCCCTTGTTTGGATGGTGCCGCAGCAGTCCGCAAACAGTCTTCATTGGTGGTGGTCGAGCTCTTGGACACAGAGATGACGAAGACGGTTATAACAAATATATGGACACAGTCACCTTGGAAGGTGTTGGCAACTGGATTTTGGGATGAAGTCAAAACCAATGTATGGACTGAGACGCCATGAAAGCGTTGGGGGCTGGACTTCAAGATGAAGTTGCCTACGTATCCCAAACATGGGAATCAAGCCTTACGTAGTTCCGGTTAAGGTACACTCGGGTATTTTAACCTTCACTTTTCAGGGCTCTCACTTTTGCCAAGGCGCCCAATGCGGGTTTTCGACCTTGCGAGCTTTTCTTTCCTT